TTCTGGTAAAATCATCAACAACGGTCAAGAAGTACTTATTTTCATTAAAGGTTGCATACTTGTAAGGACCCCAAACATTCACATGAATAAAATCAAATACATCAGTGCTCTTAATACAACTAGTAGAAAATGGCAACCTAGTTTGTTTAGCACATGGACATACAGTACATTTAGTGATAGTATCAGTAATACTAGCTAGTTTAGCAGGAAACAGTCTTCTGAGTACCACTCTAGAGATATGACCTAGTCTTTTATGCCACAAAGTAATATCAGTATTTCTTGACTTTATTCCAACTGCAACTAGGGCAACTGCAGTAAGCTTCTTGGCCCCGTATTTCTGCAGAAAGTATAAGCCATTTTTCCCCCTACCAATCTCCTTCACCTTGCCACTGAAGAGATCCTGAAATATACAGAAATTAGGATAAAAGGAAGCAAAGCATCTTAGATCTCTTGTCACCTTGGAGACTAACAATAAGTTGAATTTGAATTGAGGGACATAAAGTACTTCTTTAATAATGCTTCTATCTTAAATATGACTATCTCCAATCTGAGTAACTTGAGTGACATCTCCATTAGGTAGTAGAACTCTTCTAGACTTAGAAGGTGTGATTAGGGAGGTTTTGGTTAGTAAGTTAACATCTGACATCATATGATTTGTTGCACTTGTATCAATGATCCATTCTTATTTTTGTGAGTTAGTGGATGCTAAAAGAGAGGTATCAATACCTGCTGCATTTGCTTGAGTAGGAGGAGTTGAGCTATTGTTCAAAATCTGCATTATCTGATCATATTGTTCCTTGGTGAAGGGAAAACCACCACCTTGTGGAGCAATATTTGTTAATCCCTGAGGTTGTGAAGAGGGAGTACCTTCTTGATTCTGAGTGCCTGAGATCCCTTGACCCTGTAATCCTTCAGTAACTTGGCTCACATACTAATGGCCTTGATACATAGGCATAGGTTGCATTGACCTGTTATGAGAGACACGATTTGTGTGCAAAGGCACAACATGACTAGGTTCTATCATAGCATTGTACGCTCCAGCTCCCCCTTTCTTTTTAAACTTATAGTCTTGTGGATACCCTATGATTTTATAGCAGTTTTCTTTACTCTGGCCTTTCATTTTACAGAACTCATACTGGACATCGTAATTCATCCTAAACTTTGGATTGAAATTAGGCTTAGCACTATAGAGGACAGTAGAGTCATAGGCATTTATGTTTACATTAGGAGCAGATCCTAACACTCCAGCAGTGGCTGCTATAGTTCTCTGACTTTCATCACTCATGAGCATAACATAAGCTTGATTTACTGTTGGTAAGGGTTTCATCATAAGAATTTGACTACGAAATTGAGAGTAAGAGTCATTTAGGCCCATTAAAAATTGATACACCTTCTATTTACGTAAATGCACAATAAATTCTTTTGTCTTAACACAGTCACAGCCAGGAGTAGGTACTACAGACTCAGTCTCATCCCAAAGATCTTTGAGCTTCGAGTAGTAAACAGAGATAGATGCAGTACCTTGATTTAGAGTGGCAATTTTCTTGTGCAAATTATAGCAACGTGTATCATTCACCTTGTCAAAACGTTCCTGTAGATCCATCCACACTACCTGTGCACTAGTAGCGTATGCAATGCCACTGATTAGTGCTGGAGCCACTGAATTCATCAACCATGACAGCACAATTGCATTGCACCTCTCCTATTGATACCAATACTTCTCACGAAACCGCTCCTTAGGCCACCTGCCATCAACAATCCCAAGCTTATTTCGACCAAGTAATGCAATTCGCATAGATCGATGCCATAGAGAGTAATCATCAATGTCGGTTAGCTGAAATGAGATCAAGGAGATTCCACTTGTATCGCCGGGTACAGAGGATGAGTGACTGCTACTGTCACTCATTCCTCAAATTCATCCTTTGATGATGCATGTGAAGCATTTTCAACAGTAGCATTTGGACTTTCATTCAACAAATCATCACCCGCCATTGTTGAGCAATTTTGAGTTGAAAAAACAGAAAAATTGAGATATTAGATCTGAACCAGAAATTCGATTAAGAAGAAATTGAGGATCGATATCTGAGCTTCAATTCCGAGCTCGAAGCTCTGATACCATGATGAAGTTTGGTGATTGATCACCTACAGAAACCCTAGCTAGAGGGAGAAGAGAAGGAGAGGAAGAAGAAGAGAAGAAGAAGAAGAAATATCTAAGAGAGAAATGAATGTAACCGTGGAAAAATTCTATTCCACTCACTCTGTATCTCTTACATGTACACATATATATACACGTGTGACTTCCCACTACTATAACAAACTAACTAACTTTCTCATTAACTCCCTAACTGACTTATCATACATAAATAAACTAAACCACTTCTCATAATCAGGTTACACCTTTCTCCTCAACAAATTCTACCTCTATACTTTTTATTTTTCATTCACTTCTTTTGTACTCATTTCCATGCTTTCATATGTCTTAAATTTTTTTATAGTTTTATAGGATAGCATAATCTTAGTTGCACATATTACAAATACATATCCTAACATACTTGGTTATTTTTCTGTTCGGGAAATATAATTTTGACGGATGTTGATTATGTGTAATTTTTCTTTTTCAATTGGTGAGATTTAATGACAATCTTATTTTTGTGGTAGTATCCTAACATATTTGATTTTTTTTTTAGGTTCATGGGATATATTTACGCCTGAAATCTTGGCGAATGATGGTCATGTGTAATCTTTCTTTTTTAATTGGTTATGTTTAATAACAATCTCACCTTTGTAATGACTGTGCATGTGTATTTATATAGAATAGTGTACTTTGCAAATTTATTCAGATGTTTGTTACAAAGACAAATTAGGAGAAGAAAAGGAGTTTATCTTGGTGATGGAGGAAACATAAGTTAGAGGGAGAAAAAGAAGAAAGAAGGAAAGAGAAATAAAAGGGAAAAAAGGAAAGATAAATTCGGACATTTCTTTCTTTCCGTTTCAAGTTCACATATACCTATTTTTGGATCGGCGTTATACTCGCATTGTACAAAAATTTATGAAATTTACCCTATCGGATCTGAAATTTTTCTATCTCTTCAATACAACTTCAGAATTGGATTTGAAGTTCTTCTATCTTTCCAATGCAACTTCAGAAAATCGAATCTTAAGTAGTTCTATCTCTTCAACGCAACTTCAGAATCGAATATAATGTTAATCTTCTATCTTTCCAATGCAACTTCAAAAAATCAGATCTTAAGTAATTCTATCTCTTTAATGCAACTTCATAAATCATATATTAGGTTTTTCTATCTTTCTAATGCAACTTAAAAAAAATCGAATTTTAAGTAGTTCTATCTCTTCAATGCAACTACATAAATAAGATCTTAAGTTCTGAAACATAAATTTATTTTTCGAACTTCAACAATTCAATCCACGCCCAAATAATTTCATATTTGAAACCAAATCCCAATCATTAAATTGTCAAAACAATAAATCTAACTAACTCATTTTGTAACTAAGAAGAAGAAGAAAAAATCATAAGCACAACCTATAGGTGTTTTGCAATTAATAATAATAAGAAAAAACCAAATGGCTCCTAGATATATGAGACATGAATAATAAGGAGAAAGAAGAAAGCAGCATCGAAGCTCTTCTGAATACAAAGAGCCAAAAAATTAAGTCTCAGTTAAACTTAAAAAAGAAGAAAGTAAATACATATTAAATAGGGGTGACCAATTAGGACATCCCGTAAAAATTTTACATTTGATATACCGAATCCACTAACTCGTACGTGCTGGTAGACCCACTAAAAGGATGAACCGATTAAAGGATGAAGTGGCCCCTAATTTTCACTAAGACGAAGTTAGAATTTGACTACATCTCGTGTAATTTACTCACTTCAAAATCTATTATTTATATTTATTATAAGTGATTTCTTTTAAGTAGATATACAATGTTAAAATTATTTTTTGATGTACTCATAGTTTATTTTAATAACCTCTTACCTTTCAATCTTGATTTTTCTCGGGTTTTTTGAATTCTTTTCCGATAAAATCTTCGTAGCACAAAATATATAACTTATGCTCCAAATATATCTTTAATCCTAATAAGATACAACTATATAAGATATTTTTCAAAAAAATAATACAAAATATGAGACGTATCATGGCATTTTCCTAAGATATTCAACAATAAAGATAATAAAATCACATAATATATATATTTCTATTAAAAAATTATATTAAAAATAAACATAATCTAAAAGTACTAAGTCATGCTAAAATAAGTAGACTAATAAAGGAGTATTAATTACATGACTAAATGCTAAAGAAATAATAAAAATAGGTTATGCATTTTTATCTAAATCCTCGCAACACTAAAAATAAATATCCGACACATTGTTATTTTTAGTATTGAATTGAATGTCTTTTGTTAGCATTAGTATTAATTTGATTTTGGTTTGGGCTTTTGTTAGCATTGTTTGAGTAACTAACATTTATGGCTATAATACTTATTGGAACATTCAAAAGTTCTATGTCCAAACTTGAAATAATATCTTAAAAGATAAAATTATGAAATTTTTTAAGAAATATTTATAAATTACATCACAATAATTATATTTATGCATTAAATATATCTCAAATTTTTATACATATAATGTCGAATTGGTTTGATTTCGGTTTGACTTTTTTTAGTTAAAATCAAAGCAAACCAGTTATGGTCAGATTTTTTTTTTCAATACCAAACTAAATTAAATCGAACCATAATTAGATTTTTTTTCGATTTGATTCGAATTATCGGTTTGGTACGGTTTGTATTTGTTTTGTACAGAGGTAGTTCAAAGAAAGGCCGGTTTAAAGCAACGGTATCTTTCATCCTACTCAAAGGCCAAACCCATCCCCTCTATAAAGCTTTCCGTACACATCATACTCATAATACCAATAATTTCTTACATTCATGTATTTTACGTTTGAATAAAAACTTCTTAGACTTTTTAACTTACCTTTTTTCTTACTCTATATAAACAAAGTATAGTATTATTATATATGTTCTTTCCTCCTCCTTCCTTTTTCTTCCCCATAATAATTATCATCTTTTTCAGTGGTCATTTGGCCATTTTCTTCTGCTACTTCTTATTACATATACTAATACTGTACAAGACAGAGATATTTCGTACACAGAGAATATTATTCGTATAGCATATGAACAGAGTTGAAGTGGAATTGAATTAAAGGTCAGTTGTTGATTTTTTTCCCGATTAATTTGTGACTAATTTCAATATTCATGATTCTTTTTGTTCTTTTTTTGGCTTTGTTTTGTTTTCCAAGTTTGTGATTGTGTTTTTTTTTTTTTTTTTTTTTTTTTTTGGAATTGGTTTATGGTAAAGTTTGGAATTACTTGTGCAATAGGCAAAACGTGTTGATGGAATAATGGTTTACTGTATTTTTGTATTGGTCTCTGTTTGCAGTTTGTATGGTTTTCAGTTTATTCCGTTTTATATTTTGGGATTTTGGCGGGTACAGGGATTGGGGTTGATGAGTCTGTATTTTTTTTAATTTATAATAATTTAAAAATTAGTCTTTTTTAAAATATTTTTTTGTATTAGTTGGTGATAAATGAAGAATTATACTGAAATTTAAGTTTCAGAACTAGGGATGGGTACTGGGGTGTATGAAATTCAGAACAAGAAAATGATGGGTGTTTTAGGGGTAAATTTCTCTGTACACTTTGATTTCACTTTACAACAACAACAACCACAACGTGGAATCCAACAAGTATGTTCTGGGAAGGATAGTGTGTACAGAGACCTTACCCCTACCTTGATAGGAGGGTGTGGAGGTCGAGAATTAGGATAAAAGGTTAGTAGGTAGTCGAGCGTGTCTTTTAGAAATACTAGAAATACTACTGGCACTTTGATCTCACTTTCTGGCTATTAAAGTGAATTGGGTATGTTTGGTAGAACCTAAAAATGTTTTAATGGAGAATATTTTTTTGTAAAACATTGTGTTTTTGGTTGTTGTTTTTATTTTTTTTAAACCAGCTTTTTGTTGGATATGAAAGTAGGTGATATTTAGTAATTGTACAAGGTGGTGGATAGGTATGCATATAGTATTCTGGTGATATTTTCAAAGTAATAAAGGTTGAAACAATGTCGAAATATTGATGAATCAAGTTATAGGGAGTAAGAGTTAGGATATTTGTGAAGAAAAATGACTTCTACCCGTAGGTGATAGAAGCCATTTTTCCCATTTTGGTAAAAGATTTATCTCTTTATGAAACGATTTTCTGTACTTCAAGGTGAGGAAATATTGGAAAATTATATCGTCAAGGTCATTGGCTTGCTGCTATTCTACTTGGCTTTCCATCTCTCTTGTCATCTCCCCTAACTTCTATGAGTCACCATCTACCAATTAACAGTGACACCGCTTACGAAGAATCCTGCGTACACCGCTGACTGTGTTAAGGTTTCCTAATTGAAGCAATTGACTGCCCTGTAGCTCAACACATTAAGCTGCATAACTTATAATGATTTATCTATTTGCTTTTTTTGTTTGGCTGCCTATCTTTCTCTTGGTCTATTAGGACCAGCACTACATGTCTTAATCCTACTTTCATGTTTAATTTGATTAGGTGGAAGTTATGATACATATGCATCACTGCGCATATTCAACTCTGACTATTCATTGCCAACAGCACTATCAGAACATTGCAGAATAATGTTGACAGATACTTCACATTACATAATATCATTGTAATATCCGTAGATTTTATATTATCTACCAATAGGTCTGAATAGTCTTATCATTCTTAGCTGAGCCCTTCATTAACTGGCCAGGTAGATATATTCAATTTAGAGGTGAGAAGAGATTCTTCATTTGGCAATTTTTCTGGAAGAGATAATTATGTGTGAGCCGGAATCTGAAGCTGCTCGTGGCGTTCTTAGTTTTCTCGATGTGGACCAACTTTTTAGTTCCAACTATTACGGTGATGGTAGAAAGCATGACGTTGAGATATGTCATGAACAATATGCCAGAGAAAACCACTATCACACATCATATTGCAATGTTGACAATGATGAGGCTATTGCTCATGTTCTACAAGAAGATTTGTCAGAGTTGTCCATCGCAGAAGATGCTGAATCTTCACATGCAGACGAGCAGTATTTGCAAGCCTCCACTGGTGTACAACATTGGCATACTCCTCCAAGAGAGTATTATGCTGGTACATTTCTTGTTTTCAATTCTGTGATGTTCCTTGAGTTTAAACATTTGCTAATTATATATGATTCACAGGGCATGACACCAGCCTAGAAGCTGATGATGTAGGGCCTTCAAGTTCTTGTTCGAGTCCTGGAGACAGATCATACGATGGAGAAGAGTATACCTACACATTGGAAATACAAGATGAATTTGAGCTTGATGGAGAAGTAGGGAAGAGAATAAACCAGCTGAGTGCTGTTCCTGTAAGTGTAGTGTCTGTTAGTATATTGAGAACACTAATTCACTTTGTGTACGAGGACATGTGTGGTGCTTTGCACCTATGGCCATTTTCTTGAGGCTGCTTTAGTTTCTTATAACAATTTGTGTTATTAACCATGCAGCATGTTCCTAGAATAAATGGGGACATACCTTCAGTCGATGAAGCAACTTCTGATCATCAAAGGCTGCTAAATAGGTATCTCCTGATCCCTCCGACTTAGGTTTTCAAGTAGATAAAAATTGTGTATGAACAAGTTAATGACATATGATCTTATGATAGTGCTTTGCTTAATTCTCTCCAAATTCTGAGCACTTTTCAAGGTAATGAAATATAGCTTCACTGTGAGAAATGCATACCTCTATTGTGATAGGGGTCCTGTGTCTCCAGAAACATTTCTTTATTTTTATTTTGTTAGGTTTTCTCTTTCTTTATTAACTCATTCTTTTACTGGTGGTTCTTACTGCCTGCTATTCGAAAAGTAACATCTGACCCCTCAAGCATTTTGAGAAAACGAGAATCAAATGGGAGAGATGGGAGCCGAGACAAGCACAGAAAATAATTGGTGTGGAATGAGCCAACTAGTATTTTGTGCTTTGTAAATAAACACTTATGAAGCACATTCCAATAGATACTATTAACCCTTTGTTTTCTTAAAGTCACAGGACAATGCATGTGGTTTTTCATTTTATTTTCTTTTGTTGTGTTTCTTTATTAGATTTTGTGCCACCTAAGCTTCCTATGAAGTTGATATTGTTGTGTTTTTTATTAGGTTTTGTGCCACCTAAGTTTCCTGTGAAGTTGATATTTTTGCCAATGCAATTGAATGGTAATATTATTGCTGCAAGTTATTCTTTGCTAAGGATCCCATGCTATGGTTTTTCTTGCTTCAGATTGCAATTATTTGACTTGGTGGAGCACAAAGTGCAAGGAGATGGCAACTGCCAGGTTACTGTATTACTTGGTTGATTTGTCTTGCAGTAATGATATCAAACTGTCTAGAGACGCTCATGATTTGATTTCTAGTGAAAGAAAAAAATTGTTTTCCCTTTCCTTAAACTACTTGTAGCATAATTTTTAACCATAAACAAAAGAAGGATCCCCAATTCTTTAAGTTTGTCTCATGAAAAATCTCAGTATATCAAGGTGCTAGGTGGTATGGAGGTCTTACTCTCTGGTTCAAAGAAGAAAGGGAATGAAAAACAAAAAACATAATGTTTGATGACGGTTTATCAGTATTCCTTACTTTGGAATTAACTCTTTGGCTCTGATAGAAACTTGTTGTTGGTGTTTGTGACAGTGAAATGGTGAATGAAGTGGTTCATAATAGGATTTTTAAAAAAATTGGAATATGAAACTCAAGTGACGTATTGTCAGGCTGCTTGCCATTCCAACTTTATTAAAAATATTTGTGGATTTTTAGTAGTTTGACAAAAGGATAATTCAATTTTTTTCTCAACTCTTTAGTTTTATGGGGTATGGGAACTTTGCCTATTTTTCCCAAGTGGATTAGGCTTCGCCTCCGATTCTAAGTTTGTTGAAATAAGGTTCCATCCTATTTCTTTCTAATGCACATCTATTCACATGTCCTCTTTTGTTCCAGTTCCGTGCTTTATCAGATCAATTCTATCGTACACCAGAGCACCACAAATTTGTCAGACAGCAAGTAGTCAGCCAGGTGCTTGTCTAAGTGAATAAGATAATCTTCTTTATGATATTTCGATTTCATTTTTGAATTATTTCACATACATTTTAGCTGAGTATGTTTTTTAAAATCATTTTGTCTTGTCAGTTTCAACATCATCCGGAGATGTATGAGGGATATGTCCCAATGGAGTATGGAGAGTACTTGACGAGGATGTCCAAGTAATTCTCAGACCTTTGTTTCTCCATTTTGAAATTCTGCATTATCTTTTCTCCTTTAAATCAACATCTGCTTATATATTGGTTGAACCAGGAGTGGGGAATGGGGCGATCATGTTACGTTGCAGGCTGCTGCTGACTCGGTATTGATTATTCCCCTTATTTGCTTCCTTGGTTTTTTCTCTCCATTTGATTACTTTGGTTTACTTTTTAACCTTGGAATATAAGAAGCTTAAGCTATTGTTGGCCAGACCATAATTTGGATGTCCTGGTATAGTGCCTCCATTGGGTGCTTTACTAGCTTTTGTTAATTCATGTGCCTCTATTTTGCTATTTCTTTCTTTCACTCTCCATTTTGAGTGGTTATGATGCATTTTTTATTTATTGTATATGCGCAGCTCCTTTTATGAAGATTTTATTTGTGATGATGCTAGACTAGGATGCATTGGTTTGTGAATGAACCTACTTGTGTTGCACATTGATTTTGTCTTTTTGTCTTGTGGGCAGTATGGTGTGAAAATTCTTGTTATAACGTCATTCAAGGATACATGTTACATCGAGATTCTTCCGAAGAATCAGAAGTCAAACAGAGGTAGGCTAGTTCTCAAACTTTGAATTGCTTTTACCTTTCTGTAATATCCTCTACTTCACAAAATGCGATTGAACAAGTTTTTATTACAAAAATATTTGGAAGTGGGAGTGACATAGATCCTATTTCTCAATTTCCATGTGTCTCAAATAAAAAGTCACGAGTCGCTTAATGCTGTACGTATTTCCAGTTTGCGGTTAAAGATGCTTTCCTCAGCTGTAATTCCACTAACTGAGAAACCATTATCGAGTTCTTATGTCGTTCTATTGATACTTTCTGCAATGCAGTTTTAGACTTTTAGCCAAAACCGCAACATTTTTCAGGACCAAATTCAACAATTCAAAAAGGGGAGATAGTATGATAATTCGTAACCACCAAATTAGTACTCCCCCATTGGCGTTTCAGACGACACAGGCTACACATGGAGATGAAGCAGATAATTTGATTATGCATATTGTAGTAATAGTAGTAAATTAAATTATAGAAGTAGCTGGTACCAGAGCAACCTGATTTACTGGATGAATTTGATTCTTGAAATTTGTGCCAACTATGGAAAAGTTAGTACGATCTTTGTATCAAACTTTTTCAGAAGTCCAAAATCAGATAACGACTCTGATAAAGTAGGACCACTGGAGTTAAAGAGACAACATAAGTTTATTACATGAGTCGTGAAGAATGCAAATAGTACTTTTGATCTTTGGACTGTAAAGTTAGTACCTCGGCCTGCCTTGACCAAAAAATTGCGCAAGGGGAAGGAGGGATGAATGGATGACTATGAACCCTTAAGGACAATCTTAAGCAAATTCGATTTTGCGTTTCATGAGAAGGAGATTTTGATTTTTGAAGAGTCGTCCGTTTTAGCTCTTTTGAAATCTAAATTCCATCTCATAACATGGATGCTTTGACATTCACATTCTCCTTTTAGAGACCGGAATTTGTCTGTTTTAACATATTGAATGATTATGAGACGGTTGTAAGTTTAATGAATGGGGGCAAGCTTTATATTGGTTATGTATGCATGTCATTTATTCTATGCCATTGTATCATACCTATACTATGAAGCCAAGTGTGGGCAAGCAAATCTTGAGATTGCTTGGAAGAGAAATTAAAGTATGAATGCAATTTCTTTGTGCATGTGCACTTTGTAAGAGCGGTGTTTTGAAGTCTTGATATTCATTCGCTCACACCAATTTAATTGTTTCTCTTATTTTTCTCTTCTTGCAGTCATATACTTGAGTTTCTGGGCAGAGGTGCACTACAACTCAATCTATCCTCAAGGAGGTAGTTGCTTGTACTTTTATGTCCCGTTTCTGTTTAGTTTGTCTTAGCATGGACATCCCCCCCCCGGGGGGGGGGGGTTAGGTACTCCGGAGTTCCGTGGTTTTAGCATGGTCGCTCAACTATTATTAATTGGCCTATATCTGATTAATTACATGTTTAAACCNCCCCCCCCGGGGGGGGGGGGTTACCATGGGCATTACGGAATAACACTTTTTGTTTATCACATGCTTATGGACAAAGCGATGAACATTGAGAGTTGACCGGAAGTTTGCTGCTCTTGCTTCATTTAGATTTCTATCCTCACAAGGTAGGGGGTAAGGGGTATGTGTACACAGTGGTGGACGCACGTGGTGGCAAGCATCAAAAACTAATACTGTATATATGTATAAATTAGGATTAAAGCTGCGTAAATTTTGTTTAAATATTTTATTTGAACCCACTTGACAACTACTATTTTACAACTAAAGTTATATACTTCTAAGATTGAACCCGCTTGCACAAAATCCTGGGTCCGCCACCGGCGTACACACTACCCTTATCATATTATTCTAATACTGTAGTTTGATGCTCCATTCCAGACTTCCTGCCATTTGACTTTAAGAAGAAGAAGAAGAAGTGGAGTTTCTGGAATAAGCATTAACAGTTCTGGACCTATTCAAAGGCACACGCTTATATACAACAGCATCATTCTGGAGTCGGTACACAGCTTCTGATGCAAGACTTACATTTCATTCTTTTCTTCTTTGATAAACAATACTTACTTTTCATTCTTATAATAATTGTTCGCGTAATTATTACAGTATAGCATCAGTGGCAGAGCCACCTTATAGGAAGGGGTGTCAATGACACCCTTTGCGGAAAAAATAGATTGTGTACGTAGATAAAAATAAATAAATTTATATGTATGTATGCTATGTATTGACTCCCCTTAATTTTCCGGTATATTTACTTTTATATATTTTGATACCCGTCAAATAAAACTTCTGGCTCCGCCATTATATAGCATAGTCAATAGCTCTATCAGTTGCATAATAAGATCATATTGTTGTATCGATATATTGTTTATGTCCAAACATTGTGCTCCACATGCACATCTCTCCAATTAGTACAATGGTCTACACAAAATCTCATACACGAAAACCTTGATGATTTTCCTGTAATTCTTGTTTTATTGGGTCTTATGGTTTGTTCAGGGAAAGGGGTAACTGGTAAAGTTGTTGCCATGTGATCAGGGGTTCGAGCCGTGGAAACAGTTTCTTGTAGAAATGCAGGTTAAGGCTGCATAGGATAGACCTTGTGGTCATGCCCTTCCCCGAACCCCGCGCATAGCGAGAGCTTAGTGCACCAGACTGCTCTTTTTTTATAGTTTGTTCAGCTGTCATCCTATGAGCACTAGTGAAAATTTCTTACCAGGATAAAGATATGCAGCAAAATCCAATTGGGGTGGTAAATAATTTAGTATTGTTAGTAACTTAAACAGTGAGCATATATTGAGAGCTTATAATTCATGAGTATAAAAACTAAGATAAATGAATATATAAGCTAGTTTCAACTTTTTCAAGCTTATGAGAATGGATACTACAACAATAACAATGCCTACGTTCTAAACAAAGATGGAAATGAGAAAGGATACAATTTACCCGAAATTCCCTGCCGGGCAGGTATGTAATTGGGAAGTGTAGATTCCTATGTGCTAACTTAGGGTACAAGGGATAATTAATCCCGAAATTAAATTCAAGATTTATTCCACGTTTGATTAGGATAAAATTACAGCATAATTAATTTCAAGATTAATTATTCCGAGATTATAATATTATTTTTATCCCTATGAGAGGATGGGATAATAATTCCGAAAAAACTAATCTTAGAATAATTAATCTTATGATAACTTGTTTCCAGCCAAACGACCATTTAAGGTGTTTGGAACTACTGTATAATTATTAGACTAAAATTCATTAAAATTCAATTATTTAAAAAATAATAGAAACTGTTTTACCTAATGTGAAACATAGGAAGTATTCAAAACCAGCTACATAATGTAACATCTTCCTTAGCCATAGCCACTACTAATTTACAAAAAACAAAAAGTTACTAATGGAATATATATTTGAAATTAACATCCTTTACCCTTGAATTAACCTTTTTTATACCAAAATCCCCAAAAATATTAACCTCCCTTTGATTAATTTTACCAAAACCCCAAAAAATTGACCCTCCTTTAATCCTTTCCAATCTTTTGGATATAGCAAAAAAGGACCTTAAGTCTAGAAACTAACACATTGACCCCCCCCTTCCCCACAAAAAAAGCTGCCAGGACTCCATATCTACTTGTTCTCATCCTCACCGGCGACTTTTTTCTCGCCGTCATCGGCCGTCACCGGCTGCAGAAGCAACGTCGTGAACGGCATGTGTCGATACTCATTACCAGAAAATTCCAACGCCGGTTGGTATAAGTCGAGCCGGCAACTCGGTGGCGGCGAGGTCATCGAGAAGATTCCGCCGCTCACCGGAAAACCAGAAACCGACTGAGCATGGCTTACCGGAGCCAAAATCGACGGCGGTGACTTGGACAAGGGTACACTCTCCGCCGTCGTGATGACATGCCCCGACGGGACCGTGCCGCTGCCGGTGGACGCAATAATTGCCGGCTCCGCGTGGCGGAGCAGCCACTCGATGGTCTCTCCATCGGTCCGGTGACCTAGTTCCTTCGTCAGCTGAAAAACACGCGCTGCGCATAACGCTGGCATCCTCACGCGCCTCCCTCTGCCGTTGACCTTCGTGTGCCTGTCTTTGTTTGATGAAGCAGTACTCTTAGTAGATAAAGAATGCATCTTTTTGGGACCCACCACAAGGGCATTTTTGTCATTTGACACTGCGTTAGCGCCACCACTTCCAGCGACGGCAACAGCGCCGGTGGATGGGGTGAAGTTGTGGTGAAGGACAATTTCTGAACCCATTATTAGGGTTTTTTTTTTAATGAAGGAAAATGGAGGGAGTAGTACTTTGAGCTTTACGGATGATTTTTTATGACCCCACAACAAAAAGGGAAAGAGTTTGGGGCAGTTTTTATAGTGGGGTGGGGGGATAAAGAAGGGGGAAAAGCATTAAATGTGAAGTGAGATTGTTTTGGGTAGGTTTGTGGATTACTGACAATCTGTATCTTCTCGGTAACTGTGTGGGCTTTGGGCCTATTTTAGAAGATTTCTGGCTCCATAACAGGGTAAAATTTTAAAGTTTTTTACCCCAACACCTTGAAAATGGATCTCTCTTTTCAAAAGTTGCCATGGGACAAGCAAGGGGCGGTAATTGTTAACTTGAAGTTCTGTCTATGGCACAAGCGGGATAAAAAAATCAGTTGATCGTCTCTGACTCTTGTTTGTTTTATGGACAAATCTTTAATGTCAAAAATGTTAGGCAACATATGTTAAATTTGAAGTTATGTTTATGAACTAAGCGAGGCTAAGTTGAAACGAACGAAGTAATATAATTTTTAAATTTTTGATCCAAAACGAAACGAGAAACATTTTTATGGTTGGTTATAAATGATCATATTAAGAGTCAAATAAAATTATTTTTTAATATAGAAATATGTAACTCATTTTGAATCACGCAAAAAAGGAAAATATGCCATAAAATAGGATAAAGAAATATGTCATAAAATAGGATAAAGAGAGTATTATTACAAATTTGAAAACTATAGTTAAACTAAAAGTTGTTTCTTTGATAGCAGTAGTTCTCTCTTTTAAGAACCGACAGAGGTAAAATAGATTAGCAGTATTTTCTTAAGTGGAAGTGGATTAGCTAAAACCATGGTTGGTTTAAGAGAACTTCGACAGTTATTTTGGTAAAAAATGTAAGTTTTGTTATGTTTGATGAACTTGACTTGATAAAAGCTATTTCCCTATATCAGAATAAAATGAAGGGCAAAGACCACTTTTAGCCCGCGACAAAAATTATTTATATTAAGTAATCATAAAACTGTCTAAAATTTATATATATAACTATTATTTTGAGAGTGACTATACAATATTATTTTTTCTAAAATAAATGAACTTTCAAAGTTTCAAATAAGTAATTCCATTGTTGGAGTCGACGAGGTTACATCTGACCAACTGGGAGGATAAACTATTTTTGGCGTTTGGATTTTGTTTACCCTTAAAATTGGATAACAATTAAACTTATAATGTGGGTTTAAGGATACGTGATTTTACTTAATACCAATTGAAATATATAAAGATTAATGATAGAATTATACAATAAAGTAAATCAAACCAGTATTTGAGTAGAACTCAACCCTTGAGTTAGAGTATCCTCGAACTGATTGATGCAAGGACGATAAAAGCACAACAAGCTGAAGAACAAGAGTGTGAGCGAGAAAAAAAATTATATTGCTTTTTTATCCGTTCTTCTACAGATGGTTAGAATCATCCCCCCCCCACCCTATACAGTAGAGGAATTCTATATATGGTACAACTCTAATTACAGAAGGAAATTTCATGATTAACTAAACAACCGTTCTTGATTCGATCCGTTCCGAGATTTCCACCATGATCTTCGACTAGTCGTGGACATCTCGCTTTTCCGTTATTATATTATCTTTGGTATTGCTCGATGCCTGTCTCGTTTGGTCTCGATTGCTGNTGTGACGTAAGCGACGGAAGTGACTGAAACGTCCCGTCTGTACAGTTTCCTAGGCATTAAATGCGGGTCAATCGATGGTCGGCCACTGTCAATATTGAACCGTCGTTGTGAAATTTATAAATAGCCCCTCTCTCCACCATTTCAAACTTTTACTTTCAGATTCTTAATATTCAAAGCTTTTTATATCTTCTAACTTCTTCATCTGTAAATCCACGATTTTCACTGCTACCATCTTCTCAAAACACCAAATATTATCATCTTCATCTACTTTTAACTTCAAATCCATACAAAAATGGCAAAAATATCAAAGACTGTTCCTAAAAAAAAAGCGCTTCTTCATCGCGGCCGGCCAGCGACAAAACATCGATAGAGCCACGACCTGAAGAGTGTGTTCTCGGGGGGTGTGTTATCACTTCTGACTTCAAAACCGATAAAGCCTCATCGATTCCTGGTCGATGCGAGCTAGTGTCGAGGTACATATGCTCGATAACTGAAGGGTGCCTTAAGCAGGTAAGGAAATACTGCAACTGGAAAGGCAAAGAAGTGGTGATACCGACCCCGGAAGAAGACATTACCACTCATGTGGAAGGGTTTTTAAGTGTTTACACTTTTCCTTTCACGTTGGGCCCCCTCGACCCCGTCGTCGTTGATTTTTGTCGTCAGTTCCAAATAACTCTAGGCCAAATCCATCCTTCTTTTTGGCGAATTGTTATTCTGCTCCGATTATTCGTGAGCAAAGTCGAGGGGATGTCTTTCACCCTCGACCACCTCATTAGGTTATACAGCCCCCGCCTCTATCGAGGCGGGTTAATAAAACTCTAACGTCGGGCCACCAAAGTGCTGTTCTCGAGCATAGACGAGGAAAATGATCGAGGCTGGATGGGCCGGTTCGTTCGAGTGAGGACTTCCAACCTAATCCCGGTCGAGAAGATGCCATTTTCTGAGAAATGGAATATGAAGCGTAAGTATAATCCCACTGCTAGTTCTTATTTATTGTTTTGCCCATTTGCTTCTTCTTATCGATATCCTTTTCCGTGATGTAACGGTCGCTTAGATGCCCAGTGCAATTCCTAACCTCAAGAGTTGGGTTCGGGACCTGGCCTCGACCTCTACGTACGATAAGGGCCGATGGGAGGCCAAAACTCATGGTAAGCCCCTTTCCCATGTCTTTGATGATTCGATCAAAATGTCTTTCTTATACTTAACTAATTTTCTTGCGTGTAGGCTTGGGTAAAGATGCGGTCATGAGGCCCCTGTCTGGTGAGGAAGAGACTTCGGCCCCGGCTCCAAAACCGGCGAAGGACAACAAGAGAAAAAGGGCCTCGGCTTCCGAGGACCCAGAACTCAAGACAAGGACGGCTCGTAAGCCGAAGAAGAACAACATCCCTCAGACCGAAGAATATGTTCGGCGTCTAAGGGATGAAGACGACGAAGAAGAAAACAACAGCTCCATATTGGTGGCCCAAGTGAAGAAAACCATCGATGCCCCAAAGACAGATGGATCGGGGTGGTTGATGAGGCTCCGCCTCGAACTGAAGGGGTATCGGAGAAGGACTTGGACAAAGTCCCCGAGTCATTAGAGATCGAGGATGCCTCCCACCGAAGTGAACAAACGGTGGGTATATCTAAAGGGACCGGCCCTGAAGCTCTTCGAACTGAGGAGAACGCCCCACGTGACTCACTTGGGGCAATAGTAATCAGAGACTCGCCCACTCTCCCTGCTTTTTCCGTAGGGGAGATTCGGGAAGCCCAAGCTTTGGGGACCCTCGAGGTAGATGGAGCTCATGAGGGAGAGGACCCCTTCCGTGATTTGTTTACAGGTATCGAGGATGATGTCGGCCCGAGTGATGCATCGGGTTTTTTCTTCGAGGCTCAACGAGCCCTGAATCAGGTAAGTCTCGATTCCCTTTGTTGATGTCATATTCTTCCATTTTCTGCCTAACTTTCTCTTTTTCATATAGGCTTTAGCTCTTCATCGGGAGGCTTTTTCCAAGTCTCGGGAACAGATGAGTCGATGTGAGGCTGACTTTCGAGGGATTTCGGGGGAGAGAAATTCCCTCAAACTTCTTAGTGGGCAGAAAGAGGAAGGGATCAAAGATCTTCAAGCCGAGTTGGCCAAGGCTCACCAAGATCAGACAGATTTGATTGAGCAGGTAATGAAAATCTTAAAAGCTCATGGGCTCGATTCGGGAACGGTGGTTAACATTTCAATCTCACAGCTGCAGCAGAAGATCGAGAGGATCGAGCAGTTCCGTGAGGAGGTCGACATGATAAAGGCGGAGTCCTTGGGGTGGAAAGAAGGTATGGACCGCTTTGTTGCATAAAAAGAGACTGCTCGAGCCCAATTATCATCGGTTGAAAGTCAACTTCAAGGCATGAAGGAGAAGAGCTCGGCTCAAGCAAGGAAAATAGAGGAGCTCGAGGCTCAGTTGCCTTCCAAACTTTCCAAGGCCAAATCTGAAGCCGAAAATGCAAAGGCCGAGGCGGATGCGATCGTGGTCGTCTATTGGGCAGATGCTGAATCTGCTCAAGTCCAAGCGAGAGAGGCATCCGAGACCGCTCAAACTCGAGCATATTGGATTGCTGAACTCGCCAAATTCCAATCTCGGAGGGAAACCCTCGAGGAGATTCACGCTCGAGGTTTCGATCTTACCGACGAGATAACAAAAGGCTAGAGAGCATGAAGCCGAAGCTGGAGCATTGGCTACTTCCGATGATGATGATGATGGCAGCAAGAGCGGGTCCGAGAATGGGGAGGACCTCGATGTAGAAGAAGCTACCCCCGGAGGAGATCAGGAACCTTAGGATTTTTCACTTTTGATATTTCGTATAGGATCCTCATCGGACCTTGTAAATTTTCATATATATAAAGATCTCTTTTCTTTCCGACTTGTCTTTATTTCTTTTATGCCTTGTGAAAGTTTTGTTCATAGGTTCGAGGCTTAGGCATTTTGATCGAGACCAGACTAGTGTAGTTTTTATAATCGAGTGAGTACTTGCTCGAACTCGGAATAGGGTGACCCTTAGGTTTTAATTGAGTGAGGATGATTTCTTCGAACTCAAAAATAAACTGGCCCTTTAGGCTCTTGTATTCGGCCGATATTGTAACGACCCGGTCGGTCGTTTCGAGAGTTATAGTCCTGTTTTTCCCATTTCTACTTCTTTTTGTGTTATTCAGCTATATTATTTTATATCGGGTTAGTTGGTTCGGGTCCGGAAGGAACTCGGAGTGAAATGAGACACTTAGTCTCATAATTAAAAAATTTAAGTTAGAAAAGTGGACTGGATATGGACTTATGTATAAACGACTTCGGATTTGAATTTTGATGATTCCAATAGCTCCGTAGGGTAATTTTGGGCTTAGAAGCGTGTCCGGAATATTATTTGGAAGTCCATAGAGGAATTAGGCTTGAAATGCCGAAAGTTTAATTTTTGAGAAGTTTGACCGGGGGGTTGACTTTTTATATTAGGGTCGGAATCTGATTCTGAAAATTAAAATACCTCTGTTATGTCATTTATGACTTGTGTGCAAAATTTGAGGTCAATCGGACGTGATTTGATAGGTTCCGGAGTCATTTGTAGAAATTAGGAATTTCAAAGTTCATTAGGATTTGAATTAGGGTGTAATTCATGGTTTTAGCGTTGTTTGAGGTGATTTGAGGGTTTGACTAAGTCCGTATGATATTTTAGGACTTGTTGGTATATTTGGTTGAGGTCCCGAGG